CTGTATTCGTTGTGAGCCAAGGCTGTCGACTTTTTTTGGCACTAATGCGACTAAATGCGGCACTAATATCGAGAACAAATGTATACAAACCAAAACAAGGTAACATTTTACCGCTCTTAACATTGTTCAAATGGAGGGTGATTGGAAATTTAAAAACGATCTATCGTCGCATTTTAAACGCACTCTAAGCATAATTTGGACACTCTTCTTATTCCTATTTTACATTGAAATCTCGTTATTTATAACTTCGATGCCAGTATCGAACTAAATCTCAAGCACTTTGGCTGTCCGAAAATGTTAGCGTCACTTTTACATGCACATAGGCACACACAATAGAAAAGCGAGTGCATAAGATGTTAATGCCAAAGAAGAAGTACAGAAAAAACCTAAAAATAGATAGGCCATTTCTTCCATGGTCTTTTTCGATTATTACTTGAAATTCAGTGGCGTAGACAAGGAGGTGGGGGTCCAGGGGCTTTGGAAACCCCCCCCCCCTTAGCCACCCCTCCCGGCCTTATTAGTTCACCTTGTTTTTACTTTTGGCATAAAATATTATCAGGAACGAACACAAAATAATGAACATTTACCGTCATGTTTTTGAATAGACCTCCCCCCCCCCTTTAAAGAATTCTTGACTACGCCACTGTTGAAATTTACAACTTTTTCCGAAGATCAGCGAAAACATAGATAAGCATTTCAGTCTGGATGGATGATAAAAGTAAGTGTCCTCAAATTTTTAAAATACGCACAGTTGTGACAGAAAACCCGCTTGGCGTGTTCACCAAGAGAGAGGTTTCTTCAAAATTCCTTTTCTTCGGCGTGAGAAAAAATGTGATTCCAGACCATCTTCATCTTCATGGTAGGTCTTAAGCATTGAGACGGTTTCATCGACGAAAAAAGGCCCAAAAAAACTTGATAAATTGAAGGATGCACGATAGTTTTAAGCCGAGCGGCGCCGCTTTTGATGCACATTCAAGCGGACTGATTTCCGCCCACAAAAACGCGGGCCGTTGAAGAAAAAAAAATCCAAGAAAAGCCTCGAAAAGCTTCCGGGCGTCGGTGGAACAATAGTGAAATTAAATCGTAAGAAAAATAAGTTAACCAATGGCGTGGCGTGCTTTGCGATTTATCGATTGTTATGCCATTTACACCCATGGTACAGAATCGATTATTAAGGTGTTCGCTGCAAACACCCTGTTTATCGATCCTTTTCCATAGGCTTAAATGGCATAAAAATCTATATATCGCAAAGCACGCCACGCTACTGAAGTTAACTCGAGAGGTGATAAAAATTCCCACCGTTGCGCTGCTGCACCGATCAAAAACCACGTCTCTTCCATAGGGTTCTCCTACGACTTACGCGGTTTTTGGTTTGAGCTCGACGGTGCGCCACACAGTGGATCGCGTCAATGGGGAAGGTCGGACGAAATTTGGAAACTTTAAAAGCTTATAACTCCGTTCATACAGAATTTTGAGGTCTTACAAGTGGTTCCATTGGTTTTCGCGTGAAGTTTCCTTGCAGAAAAACTCCGTACAATTCAAAATGTGACGAATTTAACATCCAAATTTGCAATTTTAGTCAAAAATTTCAAGTCCGACCTCTGATCGGCTCGATCCACTGTGCGTTGGGCGGCGGCACAAGCGCCCGAATCGATAGCCATGGCGCCAGCCCCGGCGTTCGGGTCGCCTAAGTGGCAACTTTACGGGCATTTTGTTATTTTATTCCCCCC